CGGCGGCGGGGAGCATGAAGGCGTAGATCAGGGGGTCGGATCCCGGCTGTGTGCATGGCTGGGGCGGCAGATCCTGGCGGCGGCGGCTTGTGAATGGGCTCGGCGGGCCCGTGGATGGGCTCGCTGGGCTTGTCCACGGGCTTTCTTATTTTTTTTATTTGATTAACCAAGGCGGGCGGCCAACCGCCTCCGTTAAGGCCGATTAACCATGACCTTTTGATGAAGGCGGACGGCTTGCCCACCTCGGTTAATCAAATATGTCCGCCTCGATTAAGTTTTTTGCAGCAGTGACTTCACCGAACAATTGCTCCCGATGGAGGTTTCTATGTGCGCACTGTTGGTAGTGTTCTTATTACTGTTTAGTTAGTGTGCTGCTGGCCGGGTGTAGCGCAGCGGGGTGGGGGCGCAGGTGGGAGAAAGAAGACTTTCTTGTTTTTTTTTCTAGGAGATAAGCAGATGAGGGGCACTGGACCGAACGTTATTGGAAAAGCCCTCTTCTCCTAGTCGCGTCCAAAATTGTAAAGCATCAAGTATTTTAGGGCTGAACAAGCAAAGTTATTATTTATCACTCCTGTAAGGAACCGTATCACTCAAGAGGGCCACAACAAGCATCAAGAATATATCTTGTTTATCTGATTCGTAGATGCAGCGCATCGATTCCAGTTAAGCGTGCCAATGCAAACTCGATCGTACGTCCTACGCAGCAATGATTGACTATTTGAAATGATTGTGATTTTTAGGTTGTTCTGCGTTGTAGTACTAGTTACCAGCAACAACCAACTCGATGTCGCGGACTTTTGCTGAATTGGAATGATTAAAGCTGTGTTGCTCCTTTGATTTACATGTTGATGATACTACTCGACAATGTGGCATAATTGAATCTTGATGAGCAGGTGAAGATTAATTATTGATTCTTTTTGAGCGGGAAAAATATTGGTTCTTCATGGATGTATATTATGTTTTCTCGTCTGTGCTATCCCCCGAAAATGGTTGGTTGAGAATATTTCGTTACTGATCGACTTGCACGTGAACTTTGTCCATTTGTAGCGCGCGCTACAATGATTTGGGGAACAAATTAGCTAGGCAGAGTAAATAAAACAGGATCATGTGTCTCATCTTTTTTTTTCTGTTTGCTGAATGACAACGTGAACCACAAGCAAAACAAACTCCTAGTTAAAGTGAGAACATGGACAATAAATCTCATGAATTGTTTAATGATTCTTCTATAGGTATTTAATTTATGCACAAACTTCTAATACTTATGTCTCGTAAGGTTTGAGCTCGTGCAGAAGCATTGGTTAATAGACTAGTGAGTATGACAGAAGAAGATAGTCATATGAATTTTACTTGGAAGAGGAAATTAAAAGGTTGTATGGGCTAGAATATTGGGAGACATAAGTATTGGATGTTCATATTCAATAACTACAACGCTAATTAAAATTACCTATCCTTGCGTGCTCTTTCTCTTTAAATTGTTTATTTCCTAACGATATCCATATAAATACTTGATGACATATATCCTTTGAGATGAGCTTATCAGCTACTTTATATGTTTTTCCTTTTGTGTGTGTGACACTTCTTCAATATACACACATTTAGTTGAAGTCTTAGTTTAATGTATGGTACTCATGTCCCGTGGGATTAGAATCTAGATTTTGATAATCAGATTTTAATTTAAGTAGTTGGTGTATTTTTTTATGGGTATATCAAGTTGAAATTAACTCGTTTTCTTATTATAACATTTTGAAGCTCTCTTTTGTATTTTTTTATTAAACATAACAATTTTAGATCATAGAATACACACTAAATGTGTCGGGTTCATAAACCCGGGGTCCCTCGGGGACCGGCTTCCATGCCAAGGCTCGGCCCAAGCAGACAATATATCACTCGTGGGCCGGCCCAAGGGTCCAGGACAACAGGCCGAAAGGGCGGTCCAGTCACCGACCGGAAGGTCTGGCTGAAGAGGAACAGCGCCCGCTCGTCGACTAATTTGGCCCACCTCTCCGACCAGAGCGCTCGCTTCGGACTCCAGCCACCTCCGGACGGTCTCTCCGATCGGACGACCTGGCCCAAAGTGCTACTTTCGACTCCGACCCCGCGTCCCCGACCGGGGTTCACAGAAACCCTGCTCACCGCTCTTCTCCGACTAGCGCGCCTAGGGCCAACTGGAGCCGTCCGACCGGGGACGCCCGCTCGGAAGGAACCAGGGGACAAACGGAGAAATCAAGCTAGGGTGCATAAGTCAAACCACGCTACCAGGGACTATACCCTGAGCACCTGCGGGAACTAGTGCTCTGCAACCGTCCTGGCACAAATAGTATTGTAGGAGCCGACATTTACCTCTACAGTGTTGTGGGCGCCATTAACTCCCATACGGTAAGGCCCCCACGTGCCTCTGGGCATCGATAGTATTATGGGCGCTGGGATTTACCGTGCCAGGTGAACGTGGTGAGACTCCTCACATGCCTCTGGGCATCAACAGTATTTGCAGGTACCGACATCTACCATTCCCGAAGGCAACACGACCTCCCACATGCATCTAACATTCTACAGTGACATCAACTGTTGTGGGCGCCTACCATTATCTTGTACCCGCCGGCATGGGCGACAAAGCCCGATAGCATACGTACCCTTACCCTCTCACTTGTAAAGCCATCCCTTTTATCTATAAAAGGGGATGCGCTCCCTCCAACAAGGGTCTCCTTTTAGTCCTTTCAAGTAAAAAACCATCATCGATCAAGTTCATCAGCTCACAACCACAGAACCGCCGGGTTCATACCCCAAGCACGCGCTTGAACACTTAGCTCATAGCGTAGCTCCTATCGCTCTTGGCCCTTCTGACCGGAGCCGACCGAACCCCTTCTATACCCCATCTTTCTCCTTCTCGTTTGTAACCCCACTGCAAACTTCGAGCACCTGGGCTCAGGAATAAAGTCATCAACCGACCCAAACTGGACGTAGGGCACGTTGCCTGAACCAGTATAAACCATGTGTCATTGAGTGCTAGGCCACCTCCGATCACAACGTATGGCAAAACTACAAATATTTACTAGTTGGTCACATTCTGCACCGACAAAATGAAAATGATGGCATAAATGCCTATTTTAACATGCATCATGCCACTTAAGATCGCGAGGGAGCTTGAAATGAATTCTAGGAGGGACCGATAGTGCTCACCTCATGGCTTTCAAAATAATGCTAACCTCAAAAAGTAGTTAATATAAAGCTTACTCATCAATGTTTACTCATTCTCTATCAAAATAATTATATGTAATGTAGTTTTTTTTATTGACTCTTGTGCTTTTACCCATGTTTTAAAGTTTAATTGTCATTTTGCCTTCATTTATTTAACTTTAGTTTTTGCTCTATTTTTTCAAAACAAAGGCAGAGTTAGTTCAACTGAAAAGACTTGTTTCCCATGTGAATTTGCTCCTAGGTTTCTTTAGTACTCTTATGATTTTAACATCTATTTTGACATTAATATTTCGACAGTATTTTAAAGTAATTTTTAAAGCAAAATTTGTAAATATTCCAAATTTAAACGAATTTTTAAAAAAATTGTATATGTTTAATCAACCATCGGCAGAAGTCGTGAGGCTTAGGATAAGATTAGGGGTTTCATTTTTTCTTTATTTTTTTAGTTTCCTTTAATTTATTTGTTCGACCTTGAGCTAGCAGAGTCTAGAGCAGGGGCAAACGATGGCTTCAGATTCCGAAAACTAGAGTAAAATCATAAAGTTGAAAAAAGGGAGCAAAATCATAAAGAAAGGCAAGAACATCAGTCTCCCCATTTTTTAATAAAAAAGAGAGAGTACTTCAATATACTATGAATATAGATGTCATAGATGCTTCAGGCAAGAAGTATAATTTTATACAATAAAGTAACAACTCACATAAATGATTGTCATGGATACTTTATAATTTTAAATTAGCTGTTAGCGTCATCATGGATATATGAGTCATCGAAAGAACTTTCACCGTTTTCTGAAAAAAAAGAAATAAAGTAGCAGTGTTGAGCGGAACACTGAATTTTAAATTGCACGTAAAAGATGTAGTTGTAGATTTTGATGACATAAATGGAATTGTCTCCGTTTCCAAAAACAAAAATTGCAATTGTCTCCTGTAATTTTGGTTGCCCCCTACGGCCTCCCAGCGAGTACTCCTTTCTTCTAGGTAGTAGGTACCGTACGCTCACCCTTGCAACAAATTAACCAACGTCCTGACAGAAACACAAGTGGCACAAGAGCTGACAGGGCGCATCATATGCGCGCATACATGCCAAGATACGCCTACGTACGTGGCTTGTATGCCATGGATAGGATATTTGGCATTTGTAGGCCGATGGAGACGTGTACCCGGGTCCCAAAAGGTTGACGACAGTCGCGCACACGATGCCCGGCCACTTCAGCTACGCTACTACTAGTAGGTGCTCCCCACCAGCTGGAGCTGGGTCCTCAGTCCTCACTCTCACCTAACAACCACGTAGGATGGGAGCACCATGCATCTATCTCATTCACCGTAACGCTCCAGACGTACGCGCGCACATGCATATTGTACCACTGGCTATGGCATCCACCATCCAGCCGTAGTCGTAGTACGATCTAAAGGCAAGATACATGTATAAATAAATAAATAGAGTAGTTAATCAATGAGGTCGGTCCTGCAGTTGAAGTGTTTAATAACTGAGCAATGGAGTGCAATTTGATGGTGCATGCAGGGCGCCATGCCATGCCATGCGCTCACGGACTGGGAACTCGATCTGCCGCCCTGTTGCGTTGCGTGTCGGCCCACGCATGTAACCACCGCAATCGGCCACTATATAGAGCTCAGGGGCGCAGTGCTGGGACTCCGGACTCCATCGACAGCAGCTCAATCAGTCGAGGCAGTGTACTGGCAGGCTATCTATATATAGCTACTACTAGCTACTAGTCCCATTCTTCCGAATCCCACGTCGAGCAAGTAGCCAGCCAGCTAGGGGCGGCGGAGAGCGAGAAGCATCCATGGCGCCGGCGGCCTTGTTGTTGACGCGAGTGGCGGCGGCGACGGTGGCCGTGGCGTGCGTGCTCTCGCTCGGTGCCATGGCGCAGCTGTCGCCGACGTTCTACGACGCGAGCTGCCCCAACCTGCAGACCATCGTGCGCTCCGGGATGGCCGCCGCCGTGCAGCAGGAGCCGCGGATGGGGGCCTCCATCCTCCGCCTCTTCTTCCACGACTGCTTCGTCCAGGTATGTGCTGTGCTAGCTTAGCTTTTGCTTGCTATACGTCGCCGTCCAACTCCGTTCAATAATTTGCACGGTTAGCTGCGGCATTTCCGCATCTGATCGATGACGAAACCGCTGGACGGAATGACACTGACATGGACGTTGCCGCCTTGCCGGCATGGCTCGTGCACGTACAGGGGTGCGACGCGTCCGTGCTCCTCGACGACTCGGCGACGCTGACGGGGGAGAAGAACGCGGGGCCCAACGCCAACTCCCTGCGCGGCTTCGAGGTCATCGACGCCATCAAGGCCCAGGTGGAGGCCGCCTGCCCCGGCACCGTCTCCTGCGCCGACATCCTCGCCCTCGCCGCGCGCGACGGCGTCAACCTGGTCAGTGAACCATGCCTCCTGTGCACCTGCTGCAGTTGTTTTTGCCTCTGCATCATCATATCATCGCATCGCATGGCCGCCCCACTGCTGGCACTACACCACCTGCCGACACCCCGTACTGCTTGCTGCCACCATGCATGCATGAGTAAAAAAAGCATCTTGGATTCTTGATCGATAGCCATGGGTCCCGTCAAACAAGCTGAGCAACGTGCGGGCCAGGCCAGCAGCCTTCACCAACCGCTTAGCCCGGGGCCGGAGCTAGCACGACGGATGCTTCCTCATCTGATCGACTTCTTCGCCCGTTTTGTCGTCAAACGCTCAGTCGCACATGTGGCTACTGTACGTCGGTAGCTGTTCTGTTCATCCGTCAAAGTAGCAAGGTACTTGCAGTCCATGACACTCGAGATCGACGACGACAAGTAGTGGTTGTTGTCGTGCAAGTGGACATATATAGTTTAATTAATTAATCACATGGTTTAGCTAGATTAGTTTGCACTGTAACATAATGTAGTAGTAGTAGCAGCATTTCACTGACATGTAGAGTATGAGTGTATGACAAACAATGAAATGCAATGCAATGCGCAGTTGAGCGGGCCGACGTGGACGGTGCAGCTGGGGCGGCGGGACACGCGCACGGCGAGCCAGTCGGCGGCGAACAGCAACCTGCCGTCGCCGTCCTCCAGCGCGGCGACGCTGGTGTCGGCGTTCGCGTCCAAGGGGCTGGACTCGCGGGACCTGGTGGCGCTGTCGGGCGCGCACACGATCGGGGCGGCGCGGTGCGCGACCTTCCGGTCCCGCATCTACAACGACACCAACATCAACGCCGGGTTCGCGGCGAAGCGGAAGCAGATCTGCGGGCCGCAAGCGGGGGGCACCGACGGCAACCTGGCGCCCATGGACGCCATGAGCTCCGTCAAGTTCGACAACGGATACTTCCGCAACCTCGTGTCCCAGTTCGGCCTGCTCCACTCCGACCAGGAGCTCTTCGGCGCCGGCGTCGTGGACTCCGTCACGGCGCGGTACGCGCGCAACGGCGCCGCGTTCTCGACGGACTTCGTCACGGCCGTCGTCAAGATGGGTAACATTAGCCCGCTCACCGGCTCCAGCGGCGAGATCCGCGCCAACTGCCGGAAGCCCAACTAGACACCAGTGGCAGACTAGCAGTGCTGTTGCTGGGCATTGTCGAGATTCGTGCGGCCGGACAGGCACACACGGACGGTCTGGATCCGGCGACATGGCCAGCTAAGAGGAGTGTGGCTTTTTGCGTGGAAAGTGTGGAGTGCGTTGGAAGGGAGCGGCGGAGACGATGATGATTTGAGGGATTTGCTGGGTGGAGCGCCGCTGCCAGGACTCAGGAGGAGACGGGAGGGTGGGCCCAGCGTGCCGTGACACATCGATCACTGCATGGCCATTGCTGCTTTTAATTAATTTTTTATTTATTTTATTTGGCCGCATTATTCTTCCTTTTCTTTTCTTTTCTTTTCTTTGTACCACGATTTTAGCCTGTAAGTTTGTACGTACATTGGGCGATTCATGATTATTTTTCAGGGAGGTCACGAATAAGAGCAGACGACATGTGTTTTCTTTTGTTCCTCCCACAAGCAATTTACAAACGGAAATGTTAAACACCAACCGGTGTTTTATCACTCTCCAACACCCGACTCGCTCTCCTCGACGCGCTCAACGCTCTTCACCACGCGGCTCCTCCCTGGTAATACAGCAAATGCTTAACTCTGGTCAGAATAACATCGTTTTCCGACTGAACAGCAAATGCTTTAATTTGTTTTCATGGATGGTCAAAACCGGGGGTTGTACGTCAATCGGGCTATATAGCACAATAGTTGCACATCGATCATGCGCACAATAATCAACAGAATTAGGCAGGTGCAGCCGTGCAAGTACGTATGTGCCACTAGCTAGCTAGTAGGAGTAGTAACACCATGCACCATAATGGCAGCTGCTAGCTTCCTGCATTCCACGGGAAGGGTGTGTTAATGTGACATGTCTCTCGGTCATCGAACGAAATGTGCTATCCGTGCCATGTCACACGCACCGACGACGCACACGGCCGGTCGTCGCAATCAGAGAAGCGGCAAAATGTGATTAGCAGAGGATTCTCGTTGCGGCGATGTGATTTGCGTGGCTGTCCTGTAGCAGTTGGTTGCCGGACATCTATCATCACATATTCGCTTGGTCAGACAGATCGAGGTGATTGTGGCCACTGTTTTGCTGAACGGAAGCTTTGGTTTGGTTTTCAGATGGAAAAGTCCTTTGGATCCCCCTCCCTTGTATATAAAACCAAACTTTTATCCTCTCAACTTTTAAACCGTTTATTTTTGCACCCTGAGTGGATTTAATGATTGTTTTGTTTGACATGGTGTCATGTTAGCCGTTCTACATGCACCACTTCTGCTGCAATGGGTGTAAATCTGACTAACTTGAAAGTTCAGGAGCTAAATCAGATTACAAATATTAAAAAATATCCAAAAGATCATCAAACGTTTTTTTTACAAAAAAATTATCAAAATACTTTTTACATGGAAAATAATCCAAATAAAAACCCTAAAATCTAATGTAATTCTAGAAAATTCATAGAAATTTTGTTTTAGCTCGAAAAATTATAAAACTAGTTTCAGTTTTTTCTTCCTAAAAACATGTTCTATCTTATGGTGCCTAGCTTGAAATTATTTTAATCTTGATGGACTCATTTTGATATTTATTCGCTAGTAGAAGCTCTCATTATTTATTATAATTAGTTGATATTAATCACTCGAACTATGTAGAAGCATCGGTAGAGCATCTTTAAGACCATAGTGGCTCCAGGTCCCCTCCCTGATAAATTTTCACGTAATGTGTTAGCCTGCGTAGCTGCATGCACTTGTCGTACATATATGCATGGATGCACCCTACATTTAATATGTTAATTAAGTTTTAATACAATGAATTATGGAGCATATTATAGTAGGAAAATCAATATGGTAGCACATAAGACATGATGTCTGTGCAGATAGGATGAAGCGACACGAACATGAATGAATGACATGAGACATGATGTTTGTGCAGATAGGATCAAACAACACGAACATGAATGAATGACACTTATGTTCATACTAAACAATATTAAGTACGATGTGGTTACATGACACTAATGTTGTCACCAGAGTCATTCCGCTGTCAACATAAATAGATAATGAGAGTATGTATTAGCAAATAAACATCAAAAGGAGTCCATATAAGATTCAATTAATTCCCATTTAGGCACCATAAGATAGAGAATGATTTTAGAAAAAAAATGAATTTCGTAAATTTGAGCTAAATAAAATTTTCTATGATTTTTTAAGATTAAGTCAGATTTAACATTTTTAAATTGTATATTTTTTCAAAATGCATTTGCACAAATTTTTAAAAAAATGTTTTTATAGTATGATTTACCCCCTGAACCGTTAGATTTATGCCTCTTGACCCTATTGTAGGACTGCTGACGTGATGTCATGTCAGCAAAACTGTTCTGTCATCAAAATTACTCAAGATGCAAAAACAAACAGTTTTAAAGTTGAGAGGTTTAAAAACGGTTCGGCCGATCAGGAAAGCTGAATATGTTTGACTTGTTAATTGATTTGATTCCATACCATGCGACGAATGAAGCATGACATGAAAAGTATAATGGCAGTATAACTAGAAATAGGTCGATGCCACCAATGAATTGATACTGTTCTTTTCCCCACAACCACAAGGAGTTGTAGAGTTTCCATTCCTTCAAAGATTTGGAACTTCGAAAGCGACGTATGTACATTCTCTTGGAAATATAACTAGGCATTTTCTTATTTACTTCGCTTGAGTATTTTCAGTGATCAGTGGCAACCTGGACCTCATACCTTTCAAACGGTACGTGATCTGTTTCACTATCTCTACTTTGTATGGCACATATGGCCATAGTTCAAACCTTATCTATTCGATTGTTACAGTGGAATCTTTTCTTTTCCCAAACAAACAACAATCCCTCTATTTTAAAATACAAGGTATATTAATTTTATAATATTGTTAAGCTTCTCGAAATTTAACCAAATTTACATAACATCTACCATATATCAAATAAATACACTATCAAAACGTGTTCCGTTGTGGATTTAATAAATCTAATTTGATGATGTATATGTTAAGTAAAGTTTGTTCAAACTAGATAAGTTTGTCTCGTAACAAAACTAAAATACCTTACATTTTAGAATGAATGGAGTAGAATCTAATGCTAGATCGGTTGTGTTGATAAAATTACACTGGCGGCCCTTAAACTTTCAATTATTTCACTTTAGCTTAAAACTTACTACTATGGACCTTAAGTCAAGTTTAGGAGGTGCAAGTTTAACGAGCTAGGTGATGCAGGCAGGAGCTAAGGGGTTGTTTAATTCTGAGCCAACAAGACAACTATGCTCTCAAGCAATAATCTTAGTCCTAGGCGTCTGATTTTGAACGTCTACGATAGGTACTTGTATCTGGCAAGTTTGTCTAGCTCTAATCCAGCGACAAACAGTGCAAGGTTAGTCTCAGTGGGAGTTCCATGTCCCTGTTTCTAAGACTCTTAGATGTGGGAAACAGTGTAAACAAGTTCATCCTCGTGAAACTTATTTCATCCCATAA